GCAAACACCACTTGAGTTGGTATTGCATTGTACTAGCTTGAAACAGCTAGCTTCATCTGTTGCTCAATTATTTGAGATAAGTTATCCTTCCGGGTTAATCAGAGGTAGATTCAGGCTTTTCAGAACCAAGAGTGAATTGCCTTAGGGCATTCCATGAATTTACATGGTATACAGTGAGAAATTTGATCATGGTAGCCATTAATTCTGCATAGTTTCAACGAGAGATACTGGTAGCACTCTTGCCTCCCTTATAAAATAGGAGTTTAACCTCTTAGGGACGGGGGCACAAAAATTTATGCCCTTGTATCCATTACAGTACTAAGGAAGTACTGCCCTGTTAGAGGTACCATCTCTCAGATGAAACTTTAAACTGATACCCTGTCTGTACTCTAATGGACTCAAAAAGATTATTTTGAAAATCAGCATGAATTTCTTCCCGACATTCTCCCAATAATTATCACTAAATCAATATCACAAAAACAGACTATCCAACCATTACATTGTTGTTTGTGTGGAATTGCTCTGTGCACGTTGGCTATCACGTTTCTTATAACACTTTATACACTTCAAAATGACATCATTGGACTTTAAAACACTTTGTGATAGAAATCATAGAACCCCTACAGTATGGAAGCGGGCCATTTGGCCCATCATGTCTACACCAAACCTTCAAAGAGCATCCAACTGAAATGCACCCCCTACCCTAACCCTGCATTTCCCATGGCTAATCCACCTAGCCTACACATCCCTAGATACTATGGGCATTATAGTATGACCAATCCACCTAACCTGCACATCTTTCGACTGAGGGAGGAAACCAGAGCACCTGGAAGAAACCCACGCCGACACAGGGAGAATGTTCTGAAGTTGCGAAAAGAACTATAGAAAGGCAGATATTTTAATATTCCTACAACTACAATACCACAACACAATAATGATATTACAAGGTTCTGTATTTTGAGTGAGGTGGGAAAGAAAGAAAATTATAAAACTACAATTATTGCATTCAGTGTTTAACTTTCCACCGAATAGAAAGTAATATTGAACTGAGTAAATTAAGTTTTTCCTTGCGAAGCACACAGTCATAAATCTTATTATTTTAGTATAATTATTAATGCTGTAATGATATCCTCTACCTCTTGTGTAAAAACTAAAATATAACATGATACAATAATCAAATATCGGCTAGAAATACTGATGTCTGTGTCAGAGGATATGGAGCATTACAAAAGAGGTAGAAATTGGTATCTTGAACACTGGAATATTCTTGCAGTACTTCAGCAAAAATATCACTTGGCATTCCAACCCATTTGTCCAAGTACAACCTTTTCCCAACAAGATCTCATTTTCAAATCATTTAATTATATTAACTATTCATCTCAGAACTGAAAGAATATTTTCACAATATAGGTGCAAGCCATTGCTTAGTTGGTAGCATTCTTGCCTTTAAGTCAAAGGCTATGTGTTCAAGTTCCACTCCAAGGAGTAAGCACAAAATTCAAGCTGACAATTGAATGCATTACAGAGAGAGTGTTGCACTGACAGAGACGCTATCTTTTGAATGAGACCCTAAGCTAAACCCATATCTATCTTCTAGGGCAGATGTAAAAGATTCTGTCACAGTATCTTGAAGAAGTGCTGGGGAATTATGTCTGATCTCCTGTTGATTCTTATTCCCTCAATAAAATTAATCAAAATAAAATTCTGGTCATTATCGCTTACTGTTTATAGGAGATGTTGTTTGCAATTTGAAACAATATCTCCCATTGCACTCCAGAAGTACTCCATGGTCTCTAAAACCCATATGGGGCATTCCAGGGTTGTAAAAAAAAATTATATAAATGGTGGTCTCTCTTCCTTTTTTATAACTGCACTATGCTTTGACATGGAAACTTATGGACTACCTGTTAAATTCACCAAAGCACATATGGTGTCATCACTTGGAGTTTCTGATAACTAGGATGACTAAATATGTGGAAAACAAAACTGAATCAGTCAAAAGCAACATTGCCATTACATTTTGGAAATGCTCACAGATAATCAAGTCAGAATTCTGTATCCATCAGCAAATCAGTCGCCAGCCTCAGTTACATGTACTAGACAAATTCACATAGATATATTGTTATTTTTCTTTTTCATGGCAGCTTTCAGTTCTGGATTTACTCAGAATTCCACATATTCATCTACCCACAATAACCTTTGATTCCCTGGCCTAATGAGTATCTATTTACCCCACCTTCTTAAAATTATTCTAGGGCCCCCATCTCGACTATCTTCCAAGTTAGAGAGTTTAAAAGTTGAGCAACCGTTGGAGAAAGAAATTCTCTCTATCTCTGCCCTGAAAGGGCAATCACTAATTATTAAACAACGCTCCCTAGTTCTGGACTCAACCACAAGAGAAAAACATCCTATCCACAACTACTTTGTCAAGATGAATCTGGATCTTATATACATCAATTAGGTCACCCTTCACTCTTCAAATCTACAGTGGAAATAAGACCACTCTGTCTAACCTATCCTATAAGACAACCTGCTCTTCCAGGTAGCAACCTAGTAAACCTCTTCTGAACTTAGAACATAGAACAGTACAGCACAGCACAGGCCCTTCGGCCCACGATGTTGCGCCGAACTTTTACCCTAAACCCAAGGTCTAACTAACGTCCACCCCAACCTTATACTATCATCCATATGCCTATCTAATAGCCGCTTAAATGCCCCTAACGAGGCCGACTCCATTACCCTCTCCAGTAATGCATTCCACACCCCGAACACACTGAGTAAAGAACGTACTTCTGATGTCTCCCCTATATCTACCTCCACTCACTTTAAAACTATGCCCCCTTGTAATAGCTACCTCCACCCTAGGAAAAAGTCTCTGGCTGTCCACTATCTATACCTCTGATCATTTTGTACACCTCTATCAAGTCACCTCTCATCCTTCTTCGTTCTAAAGAGAAAAGCCCTAGCTCTCTCAACCTTTCCTCGTAAGACCTTCCCTCCATTCCAGGCAACATCCTGGAAAGTCTCCTCTGCACCTTTTCCAACGCTTCCACATCTTTCCTGTAGTCAGGCGACCACAACTGGACACAATACTTCTTTCAATGCATTTATACACTTGCATAAATAAGGAGATCAAAACTGTACACATTATTCATGATAAGGTTTCACCAATACCCTGTATAATGAACCAGAACATCTTTAGTTTTCTGTTCAAATCCTCTTGTAATAAAGGATAGCCCCATTAGCCTTCTTCATCGCTTACTGTACTTGCATACTAGCTTTTTGTGACTCATATTAGTGCACCTAGACTAGGGCTTCCACAAGCGGGGTCAAGACCCTAAATGAGATTGAAAGCTTAGGTTTTGGGCTAGTGACTTCCATGGCAGCAATGGCCGCTCTGTTCCAGCCCCTGGCACTCTTTCTCCTTCTCTCTGTTCTCACTACAGGTCAGTGAGAATTTTCATGCTTTTGAAACATGGTCACAGAGGGACATGTTCAGGAAGCACTGTCCCAGATCTCTCTGCACCTTGGATTTCTGCAGGCACTCTCTGCTTTGTTTAATCCTTCCTGCCACATGAACAACTTCACATTTTCCTAAGTTAAATTCCAGCTGCCAGATTTTACCCATTAACTCAAACTATCGATATCAGACTGCAACCTTCACAACATGTTCTCTTCACAGTATACGTTCCTACCTATTCTGTGTTACCTACAAATTTAGTTACCATGCCTTTGCTCTCCTCATCCAAGTCATTGATACAAATTGTAAAATACTGAGACCACAACACAGACTCCTATAGGATTCCACTCACCACATCCTGCTAAGCAGAAAGAGATCCAAATGTGCATATTCTGTTTCTTTTTAGCCTGCCAATCTTCTATCCCTGTTGACTTACCTTACCTTATGCAATAACCTTTATGGCACCTTGTCAGATGCCTTCTGGAAATCCAAGTACAGTATGTTTACAGGCTCTCCTTTATGTCCAACACAAGTTACTCCTTCATTTGTTTTTAATTTAACCTATTTTTCTAATCAAGTTGTTCAGACATGTTACTGCACACCTCTGGAGCAGGTGGGACTTGAGCCCAGGCCTCTTGGTCTAGGGGAGGAACACTACCACTGCACCACAAGACGGCCAAGTTACTCCTTCAAAGAAATCCATTTAAATTGACGAAAAGTGATTTCCCGTTCACAAAACCATACTGACGATTCCCAGTTACCTTGAGGTACTGCCCCCCAAGTGCCCAGTTACAACCTCTTCAATGGTCTGTTGTAAAACAGTTGTCAGATCTGCTATCCTCAATGTCTCCACCATGTGTACAAATGCAGGCAGTACAACTTATGAACTTTGGAACTAACTGCAGCCACAAAGCGATTGGGGAACTTCAGCCCTTTTTACAGGAAACCTCCTCCAATATCATCTGACCACTGACGTTGGTGTTCTGACTAAGCAGATCTGGGCCGCTGGGTTACTTTATAATGGGGAGGGGTCTGCTCACAAATAACAACTCTAAGGCTTGAAGCCATTGATTAAAGTGATGTCTTGTTACATTTTTTTCCGTGCGAAAGTAAATGAGAGAAAAGAAAAAGAAGCCGCTGAAAACCTGGCCCTCAGTGATCTGTCGGTGTGAAGGCTCATTCAATCAGCCAGCAAAAAGCAGAAAGACCTGGTTAAAACAAGAGCCTCCTTACTCCCGAGCGCTAGATTTAACAACCAGCCCCTGAGCTAGTGGTTCCTGCTGGTGGACCGATCCCACATACTGAAAGAAAAACTCCCTGGGATGAAAGAACCGTCCAGGTCCCAGTCTGGGCGGGATGGGTTATTTTTTCGAGTCGGGCGGACCAAAACAATAAAAAGTACGGAAACGTGGCCATCACTATTGATCAATCCCCGGTTGATCTGGCTTTCCCCGGCTCCCTACCACCGGCCTCGGGCGCTTGGGGGGATGGGGGGGTTGTGGCGGTAGTGGTTTGAGTTGCTAACACTGGAGGCACTTACCTAACGCCCTGCCCCGGAACGGAGGCTGCTCTCAGCTGCAGAAGAAGCGGCGGCGGGCTCTCTGTGTCCGGCAGTCGACTCGCTCCAGCTTTTCGAAAACTTGCGGAACACCGCTCGGGGTTGCATCACTGGCTTTATATACAGTGAGTGTGAGCCTCTGGTATTTACAAGCCCAGTTCCCTGACGTCATTCTATTTATAGAGAAGGGAAGCTTTCTCGCTGGTGATGCAACCAGCCCCAATCCAAGGAAACTGAGCTACCCGCACCATAAGAGGATCACATCAGTTTGATCAAAGTCAGTGATGGCATAGTAATGAAGAAATGTGGTCCCGAACAGCGAAATGACCGTAGATAGCAGGCATCTGATGGGGAAACGAGCTGAACACTGAGCTTTAGGCTGCTTATTTAAAACAGACAAGACATTTCCAGGACAATGTTTTCCAAAATATGTATCTCATTTTGTGAACAATAATAGACTCCTTCGTGCTGACTGCGCGGGTTTTCTTTTACATAGAAACATTTTCTTATGTATCATTTCTTGTGTATAATGAACAGGGGCAAATCGAAACCTAACGATCCACTTCAGAAATAGGAATTCAAGGCACGCAGTTTTTATTTCACTTCCTAGAATTGAAAGCTCTGGCAAACTGGGAAAAACCGACTCAAAAATGATTAAGTTAGTTTACAATCCTAAAGGTCCCGGATATGTAACCTTGATATTTATTCTCGAGAAGTTACGACCTCTAACTGAAATTGTGGAACAAAAAATCAGCCGAACAAACGTAACAATAATTATAACATTACTGGAACAAACCCGTATATTACTGTGTAGTGTCCGTCGAGATAGTGTCCGTCGATTCTTGACTACACAGACAAAAACATAGCTTTGACCAGAAGATCTCAAAAGTTGTTTCGATTACTTTTCAAACAGCCAACTTGAAATAATCAGGAGTCCAATATAAAATTCAGTACTAACTCACCACATAATTAATACTCGAATACAAAATTCATTTAAAACAGCATAAACGTGGAACTGTTTCTAGGTGTTTCTTGGAGAAAATTAGACTTCAGAAACTCTGTAATTAACGATGATCACTGAGTATCGCTGGTTTTGACCTTTACGTTGATTCGAACCTCCCCATCCGCTTATTCATACCTTAAAAACATGCAAACGCATGTTAAAACTGATGAATGACTGTATATTGCTGGCATCTGATGGTCTGTAATATATTATGTGATCATTGAGTTGACTTGTTTTTTTTATGACTATGGATAGTGGAATTTGTTTCCGCGGCGTTATCCCCTCAATCACTGCTCTTTATTAGCGCATTTATTTAGTGAATAGATCTGACACCCACAATAAATTCACCAGACTCTGATTTAGGACTAAGGAGAACTCAACTCTTCTGTACCAATCAACAAAGTTTGAAAAGGGAATTTGATGTCCTGGATTCTTTTACGGAGGTAGGTAATGTTTAATTATCTCTAGTTGAATGTCAGCTTTTGAGGAATTTACCCGAAATTGATGAAACCAGTTGGAGCTACGAAAGGAATGCTTGGAAAAAAACGGAAGTCGAAACGTTCATCTTTTGGAACTATTGTACGTTCACTTCTTCAAACGTTTAATACCAGTTCACAGTTCAATCTGTAATCGACAATTCTGACATTTTAGGGACTTCTTTATGGATATACTTTTTTGTTAGTGTTTTCCTTACTTAATAGCAGTTCCAAATTTCGTGGTGTAAAGTTGACGTTAAATAGCATAGTTATAAATAGAGGTTTAAATTTACATAGGGCGACCACATTAGAAGCAATAACGCGAGGCACATAAGACTCAGGTACTAACCATATTCTCATTGGTGCTTCCTAACCAAAGGTTGTTATATTCCTGTTTGTTTGTTTGACACAATATCCTAAATTATTATTTTAATGACTTTTGAATACTTGGAGTTTATGTTTTATATTTGTACTCCGATTATTGAATGCTAAGTTCTTGGTTGATTGTCAACCAGTTGCATATAGGGCAGGAAAAGTTCATTGTTGGTTTTCTAATCAGGATAAACTACAACCCCTAAGTATATATAACAGATTGGATTTCGGGGGTCTGGTGTTGAGTGCACTTTGCATCCATTAAGATACAGTTCCCCTGCTTTCAAGCTATAGAGATCTTTTGACATAGACATCAAGTGAACGTTGTCACAACTTTAATTATAATAACAAAAGGGGGAATACACATTTAGGACATTTTTGTGGAATATAAGTTAGAAGATTTCGCAACACAAGTAACTTCCCATCTCTACCTTTCAAATGTTTCAGTTAAGAGTTCAGTGCTGAATGTTCTTTGAGACAAACAGCTGCAAACATACAATTCTCGTCCTGCTCCCCTTTTGCAGTCTTGTCATTGCCCCTCAAAAATAATTTGGTTTTCACCACAATTTTCAAAGCCTACCACAATGATCAGGTAGGTTTCTCGAGTAATAGTCAACTATTCTTCTGACTCTATTTTATCTGTTTCCTACGTTTTCTAGTTTCCATTTGAGTGCAAACATTCAGCCAAAACATTGAGATCTTCTCAAACATTACTTCCCAAAAGACTTTATTTTGATTTCTCTCTGCCTTCAAACCTCTCTTTAAAATCTATCTTAGTGAATGTAAATGTCTCAATATTCCCAGTGCAAGCAGTTCTAAAAAGTTCCATATGTGACTTCCACTACAGAAATATATATGGTTGTTTTAGAGTCTTCACATATGTTGTTGTGACTCCAAAAACTAAATCTTTAATTACCATCTGTTGGGAGGCCCCTTCCAGAAATGAGACTGATAGTCCTCTATTGTTGAGTATTATATACATTCTTCAGTTGTCCATAGATTGTCAATCAGAGTGTGTTTAAAGAGGCCACTCTTATTGATTTTACTTTATTTATCCATAGAATTCCTTATCCTGACATTATCAGAACTTTAAAGTAATAATTATTATGCATTTTGAAGTTTTATGTTATTTTGTGGAGATGTCATGTTCACTAAATGTTCACTAAGGGACAATTACTTATGGTAAACTGTTAATACAATGTGATGGAATATCTTTTACTTTATAATATTATATTTATTGAAGCAAATACATGCTCAAGAATAGACATGTTAAAGCCAAACCATTCAAAGTGGTCTTGAGTAGTTTTTCGATAAATGAGACATTAACAACCATACAAAGCATGTTACCTTTGTGCACCTTTGATCTGAGGTCCAGGTTTAGATTCATCACAAGCCAACAATTCTTCTAAAAGTACTGGTGTTCTTAAAGGTGCTCAGGGTGCTGTTACATTAATACAGCTACTTACTATTTTCACTATTGAAGATTTATCAACACATTGCCATAAGAACTCCCCTGCTAAAAGAAACTGAACAATATAGTGGGTCATGCTTAGCAATTCCTTATGGATCAGCTATCTGAAAAGGAGAGTAAGGTGATGCCTGTGTAGATTGAACAATCATATTTGTTTCACTTGTCATTGGAGAGGGAGACAATCACTGCATCTCCAAGGTTAAGAGGCAACATCCTTTTCCCAGAACGTGCTGTAAACAGACCTGTAAATGTATCAAGGATTTACGTCCTTGTCTATGGAACTCTGCTGGAATGCCATCTATTCCATGGGCTTTGTCTGACTTTAATTATGCTGTGACAGTCTTGATTTTTTGCTGATTGGGGATTATCCAACACAGACTTCACTTCCCAGGAGATAGTTGGAATGAACGTTTCGTACCATCAGAGCAAGTGTGAATCTATTATGAACAGCTTGTGCCATCTGAAGATGCTTGTGTAATAAACAGCATAAAGTAAAGGCTATAATTTTAAAGAGGGTGCAGGGCCAGAGGGAGCTATATGTCTAAGAGCATAAATCATTTAAGCAAATGCTGCAAGTTGAGAGAACAGTTTACAAAGTACATGAGATCCTGGGCTTTACAAATAGGGCTGAAGAGTTCAGAAGCAAGGAATTTATGATAAACCTGTATAACACATTGGGTCAGCCTCAATTGGAATATTGCAGCTAATCTGAGAACCACACTTTACAGAAGATGTGAAGACATTAGAGAGAGAGTGCAGAGAGTTGGTGGGGTGTGGGGGTCAGGGGTGGGGGTGGGGTGGACCATGCTGAAACCACAGGCTAGATTTTCTGTGTCCTCACCTCAGCAAATTACCCTACCACTGTTTATCATAAAACCATGGACATGTTTGCCACAGCTTTCCAAGAAGTATTAATGATAAGTGATATATCTTTTTCTGCTCCTACACTGAAGTCATGATATACTTGTATGAATGTAAAGTTTTTACTTCATTCATCATCTATTCTTCTGACTTTCCTGATCAAAATTTTCTAAAGGAAAATTTTCCAAAGGTGTCCACAGTCATACATATGTCTATCTGCTGTGTGCTGGGAGCAGAAAGTCTTTCTACCTGCTCTATATTAAAAGCATGAAGCCTACAGTCCCGGTGGTCTGAAAAGGGGTGATAGCACTTCACATATGAAGACGTGATGAATACAAGTATGGGAAAACCGGCCATTCTAAACCACAGGACAGACATTCTAGAAAACCTAAAATCATTCTTGAATTTTGAAAAGCAGACATCTTAGAGAAAGGACTTATCCTCACATTACTAGGATTTCTAGCTTACAGATCTGATTGAGCTTCTATTGAATCAGTTCCATGAACAAATAAAGAAGTCTTTCAATCCAATAATTTAGTCTTAATCCCAAGTTCCAAACTGAATGAGTAGTGTACTAAGATTAATCATTTGATACTCACTCACCTAAAATGCCTAAGCTTTCCCAAAGCGTGCATTTAATTTTGCATAATTTCTAATGTATTAGAATTAATGATGCATCAGAGATTGTAATATTATTTCTATAGTAAAATTTCCCATGGGATTTTTCAAAAAGTTCCATGAGCATTCAATGTTCGGTGAGGGAGGGACTTTCCAAAAGTATGTATTTGTTTTACAGAAGGTAAAATATGGTCAGGCTATCAATTTGATTAACTATGAATAGATTTGGCTAAATAAAATGACAAAACTTCCTCCAGTGCAGTAATGCATTGTGAACAGAGACTGATATAAATAACAGAAACATAGAAAATAGGAGCAGGAGCAGGCCATTTGGTCCTTTGAGTCTGCTCTGCTATTCAATATGATCATGGCCAATCATCCAACTTAGTAACCTGTACCCGCTTTCTCATACCTTTTGATCCCTTTAGCCCAATAATTATATCTAACTCCTCCTCAAAAACATTCAATGTTTTGGCCTCAATGACTTTCTGTGGCAGAGAATTCCACAGCGTCACCACTGTCTGGGTGACAAAATTTCTCCCATCTCAGTCCTAAATATCATCACATATCCTTAGACTGTGACCTTTAGTTCTGGACTCCCTAGTCATTAGGAACATCCTTCCTGCATTTACCCTGTCTAGCCCTGTTAGAATTTTATAGGTTACT